ATGTGTGCCGCGACTTTTCGCGCGTCCTGGGCTGGGCGTACGAGCACAAGCTGCATGTGCCCGGGCGGCGTCTCGTGCGGCTCGGGGACAATGTCGACCTCGCGGAGGAGCCGTAGACGCGGCGGAACGGCTGGCGGGACGGCATGCGAGTGGTGTACGAGAGTGTACCCGTAGCTTGACCGTGTATCATGACCTTGGCCCCGCTGTGAAAGAAGAAAAAAAGAATCGGGGTCGCCCCATCAGTTCTGTGTCTTCCATGGCCGAGGGGGCTGCGTCGGCCCGTGGGGGAGCCTCTTCCAGTAGCCACGGACGTGCACTATCTGCAGCAAGAGTGCACGTTTGTGTTTGTGAAACAAGTTTGTCGAATTCGGCCTCGTCGGCGGCTTCTGTGGAACAGACGTTCCGCGTTCAGTCTGCGCAATGGAAGATACGAAGAGGCTGTCATGCCAGGCCACGTACAGAACGCTCCACCTGGGCAGCTGAAGGAGTTCTAGGGCCGGCGGCGGAATCAACCTGAATACCAGCCGCTGGGCAGACGCTCCTTTCGAGCGCTGTATGGATCGCAGATGATGCGGACTCTGCTATAGCTCAAGATAACAGGCCCGTTTGAGAGTACGCGGGCGGAATATTTACTCGTTGGCCCGGAACGCGCTTTCGAATGGGTTTGAAAATCACACTTCGACCCCATAATGCCCCGCCGAATCGGCGACGATTATCAAAGTCACCTCGACTCGGACGGAGTCGAGATGTTCATGACAACGCTGGCTACCATCCTTCCGACACTGTGGACCCTGCCTTCTCGTTGTGCCCGGCATACTAATGGTCAGGACTATCATTGTGTCGGCGTTAACTTTTGGGCCGAATTTGTCCCTCTCCACCCTTGTCGGAAGTGCATATCATATTCGGACGCATTCGAAAAAAAAAGACCCCGCAAGAACTACCCCACATCTACTTCGATGCCGTTTATACCGTGTTCTATCTGAGTCGTTCATCTCATTCTCTGAGAGCCTAGCCTACATGGAAAACAAAGATTTGACAGCCACCAATTCGGGATACAGCATAACGTCAAGTGCCCACGATAAGGCCGTCTTACCAGAGAGCACAGATGCAAAAATAACCTTCAGCTCACGGCCTTTGTTCAGTTGGGCTGTGCGCCGCCCATACCGAGGCCAGGGGCTATGAGCACACCGTTCAAATCGACGACAGCGGCAGAGAGCTCGCTGTCCTTCCGCGTGGCCTGGATGCGCTCCAGCGGGATGCGGACGCGGTTCGCGCGATTCCACTGCTGAATTTTTGTGAAGTCGCGGCACTGGTGTACGGTGTTGAAGTCGGGGAACGGCTTGGGGAAGCCGGCGACCCAGTCGTACGTGATGAACGCGATGTCGGCGTGGCACATGAGGTTCTGGCGCAGCATCTCGAGGCAGTGGTCTGCGTGCGCCGTCAGCATTGAGGGGGACAGAGGGGGTAGAGACGGGGACGCACTCAGATGGTCGCGGAAGAAGCGGGGGCGTGTGGTCATGGTGTTCTGGAGATCAGGGTAGTGCTCGATGTAGGAGTATCTGCGGATCATGTCCTGCACACAGGCGGTATCAGCAAAGCATAGAGAGGAACGGGCGGGAACTTACGACGCAATGCAGATCGTGGAAGAGGTCTATGGTGCCCATACTGCCGCCCCCGTCTTCGGGGAGGAAGCGGATGTTGCTCGGGCGGTGAGCGTCGTCGAGGCCGAAGCGGGCGAGGTAGTCATC